TGGTTTATGGACTCCGCCGTGATCGGAGGATGAAGCTCCATGACTCCGCCGTCGGGCGTTACCACTCTTATCAAAACTTCATCTTCTTTGTCGGTGTATAATATTCTCGACCCTCCTACGCAATTCCCCATATTCGACCCACCTAACCAGATGACAGATATATATATATATATATATAGTTAACTTTTTTAAATATATATAATGAGGAATTTATGTGGAGATATGATTTATAGAGTGAATATATGTGCATGGAATCTTGAAAACCCTAAAAGGGAAGGTTAATTAAGCGATGAAGGGGAAGGTTTTGGTATTAGGGAGAGTTTTCTTTAAATAGACGAAACTTTACAATATACAGGATGGAATGGGCCCACTTGTCCTGGTGAAAAAGGAAATGGAGATGCCATCCCTTCGATTCGTTTCCCTTAATATTTCGATAAAAAAAAATTTATATTATTAATGGACCACATTGATATAGAGACCTGTTTAGGAATAAATAATTGATAACCTTTTCTTTAGACTTAATCATTACCAGTGGTGTGGTTTTATTTGATTTTTACTGTATATGAAATCGTTATAAAGAAAGGTAGGGATAAAGGTAATGATGCTCACGAGAGGTCAAAAGACAAAAATGCAAAAAGAAACCAAATATTATATATATGTATATATATATATGATATCCCAGCATGAATCATTATTAGCCAGAAGTGAAATCTCTTAATAGATTGCCAGAAAATTATCTACAAATTCTCGAACATTGAAAATAGACATGTTCACGTGTTAAAATTCTGGACCAAAACAAATCACGGGTTTTATAATCATAGGAGAAAGGGGGAAAAAGAGAGAGAGATACTTAGAAAGAGATTATAAAATGAAATAGATTAATGATAGAATTAAAGATAAAGTTGGAGTGGGACACCTTTCGGTGCACTCATTACGTACCAAAAATTTCTTGGCGTTCATTATTAATTTTGACGGTCCTAATTCCTAACGGGCAGCAACCAAACCCCATATGGTTAATTAAAAGTTAAAACCGTAGGTTACACGTTACAACACCTTACGCTATATGGGCCGGGGCGGACCGGGTCCACGAGGTCCGTTATACAGATTTTGGGCTCAATGGGCTCATGTGACATGTGGATTATTGATGGTTCAAAATATTTATACATTTGTGACCCATTATTAGCTGTGAATTGGGCTTTTATTAGATTGAGGCCCACAATATATATTTTTTTTTTTGTGTCGAGAGGACATTATTATATTTATATAAACTGGGCACTGCGGCGCATAGAGTGCGAATATTCCGCCACGTGGCGGAGGCGTTGACGGTCAAAGAAACGGAATCCGTAGGATACGAGTCACGTTCACCATGATAAAGATAATTATTGGGAACAGCGTCATAACGGATTCAGCCTTTAAGGAAACAATCGCTGGACACGCCACGTGTCAACTGTTCAAACAATAAAGATCCATGCCATGTCAGCCGAGGAAAGCACGTAATATCTACCGTTGGATGAGAAGGCCGAATGTCATCCAACGGCGGATATGTAGCAAGCGGGAAATATTATTACTCTAATTTCTATTGGGTGGTGGAAACAATAATGGGGAGTCGCCGGGCACGAGCATGTGCATGCCTGCCTGTACATTGGCAGCCTTCATGTGGCTATAATACTCGAAATTCTTCTATGCATTGAGGTTGGTTAGCCTATATATGCATGAAAAGGTCGTATGCTCCTTATAGTCTTTAATTATTTCATCGATCGTATAATCAAATAAAATTAAAATTGTATATTCATGAATTAAAGAGACATTTTTAAAAAAGAAACTAAATTAAGAGACACATCCCTAATATATTTATATATAGACGTGTGCATATATCGGATTCATTAGAAAAATTACCCCGTTTTTTAAAAAACCATATGAATAATGAATTATATGGGACTTACCGTTATTTTGATATTCGAAAAACTTTGCGATAAGAGGCTACAGTAACTAATTATATTTTTAAAGATAAAAAGTAGATCTAGGTTTGACCAAACTCCGCGACTGTCCAAAAGCCGTTGGGTTGTGCTGTAGTCGACAGCCATGATTCAGGTTCAGATATTAATTACTTATCCTGTTAGATAAGCAAAATGATAAATAATACTTATATATAGGGAGAATATAAAAATACATAAAGACTTATATTTATCTATATTTTATTATCTTATGGATCCAAGTTTTAAAGGGGTGCCCCTTGTTTTGTTCCAAAAACCATCTTTGCACCCAAAAAAAAAATAAAATAAAAAATCGAAAGCCATTGTGACTAATGATTGGCAAGACACATGCACATCGCTCATTTTTAAGTAGAAAGAATATATCATGCTTTTACTGTATATGATCTAATTAAGTAAAATAAAGTTTACCGTTGTGGATTAATTAAGGTAAATTGTCTTACATGGTCGTCAACTTGCCCGAATTTGCATTTATATGATGAAGTAAATGCCACACACACACATATGTAACCACAGTGGCATTTTCAAAACTTTGATATATATATATATATAAGGATTCATTTACCCATCGAATCCTACAAGAAGAAATTAAATATTGTTACGAATATGGTTATGATATATGCAGATATATAGGATTTGATCCGAAAATTGGTAATTTATAAACATGCCAAATAAAATGTGATCTGAAAATCAATATTTGATTTATATTTACAAAATAGTCACTAATATAATTAATAATAACGATAACCATGAGCCATTGAACCAAAATTTAAAGTCGATTGGCTCTTACAGAAATGTTAGAGAAGGGCAATTATGGAATTAAGTCAGGAGGACAACCTGGCCAATTAAACAAGGGATGTCCTACTATAATTATCGTTAAATATATAATATTTTTAAAATATGGTACAAACAAAGCACCCAAAAACGGAAAAAAAGAATTTAAAAAAATAAAGAAAAAAGAGGGAATTTAGAAGGTTGTGCCATAAAAAAAGAGGCCCCACGAAACAATATCACGCATATCTAAGGATTATATATATATATACATACACACACCAATTCTATATACGGATATACCCATGTATACTTATACGTACATATAGCCCTCTTTCGGTTATACAGATAGATGTCTGCGCCGGCAAGAGCACGTCTTCATATGTTTTTTAATTATAAAAAGAAAACGAACACAATCCAACAAAAAACATCGTAATAAGATTCTGGAGACGATCGATCGGGCAAGAAAAGATTAATCCTTTTTTTTTAAAAAATTTTGGGAACAGAACAGTCAAAGTTGGAAGTTTTTTAAAAAACATTTACTGAAAAAATGCAGATTTCAAGAGGAGGTTGAAGACAGCGAAGCAGATAATATGCGGTGGACCCAACACAGACATATACATGCATATATACGCGATCTCTGTATATATTGTGAACGAATATATATACACATAATTTACGTACATGTATATGTCACAGCGAAAAAGGTAAATTCAAGACTGGCTTTTCTCATATTTCATTGGCTCTCTCTCTCTCTCTCTCTCTCCAGCCATTGTCGTGGGTTCCCACTAGCAGCTTTCTTGTCTTCTCGCTTGCATTTCGAATTACCTTCAAGAGAAAACTCTCTTCCTCCGTGTAATCGTCCTTCCTCTTCCCTTGATTTTGCAATACATATAAAGGTTTTGTTTTTTCCCCCTCAATTTTGCGAAAACCTAGTATTTTTCGTATTGGGGGAGGCAAAAGATGAAGTTTTTAGGAATTGGTTAAGAAAGATGGTTCCTTTGATGTGATTAGAGGCTGGTATGAGATTTTTGGCTTCTGGGTATCTCTGGGTTTTCTGTTTGGAACATTTCTTTCATGGCTCAACAGAGACAATTGCAGATGGAAGGCGGTGGGGCCAATACGGCGTCGCATAACGATACGACGTTGACGAAGATCTTCGTTGGTGGATTAGCGTGGGAGACGCAGAGAGATACGATGAAGCGTTATTTCGAGCAGTTTGGCGATATTGTCGAAGCCGTCGTTATTTCGGACAAGAACACCGGCAAATCTAAAGGATACGGATTTGTACGTCTTCGTTTTTCTTTTCTCTCGAGACAAAATGCAACAAAAAAAAGGAGCATGTTGAGTTTCTGGGTATAAATTTTCAGGTGACGTTTAAGGAACCGGAGGCGGCGATGAGAGCTTGCCAAAACATATCTCCGGTGATCGACGGAAGAAGAGCGAACTGTAATCTTGCTTGCCTCGGTGCCCAGAAAACTCGTCCCCAAATTCCAAGACATGGTTTTTATTCTTTATTTTTTTCAATCCTCTCTATTGGTAACATCTCTCATTAGTGGTATCGTCAAGGTGTAAGATCTGGAAGAGGGCAAGAGAATTAAACTTGTAGGATTAACATTGATCACATTAGCTTAAACCCCATGAGCGTATCTGGAATGTGAAGCATGATCTACGATTGTTTTGAAGATTCTTAATAATTAGAGAACTGGGAAATGCAGGAGCAGGGAGATTCAGACCAGTAGGAGGAGGAGCAGGACTAGTGGCTCCTTCCCCTTCTTTCCGCGGCTCTCCTTCTTCTGCTTCATCATCATCATCATCATCATCTGCTTTTGTTCATCAAACTGCAGGTGGTCGATTCGCATTTTCTTACCCTGGTTACGGGTAAGAATCTTGTCTTGCGGGTCATGCTTTTCCCCCTTCCGGGTTGCAATCAAATCTAGCGTTTTGAGTTTTCATTTCTTGTGTGTTTGAAGGTTTGCCGGGTATTCTCAAGAGGGCATGTACCCTATGGTCAGTTTTACCCCAATCATGTATCCGTTCTTCTGGCATGGCTAAACCCTTTGATTAACTGCGTTGGCCACTTGTCTTGCAGAATTACTACAACCATATGTACGGAGGACATCAAGTTTCCCCGTTTGTAGGGCCATCGGGCGGGATGTTCCATAGTTTCTACCACCCGTTCTACACGCAGAGCAGCAGCCAGACTCCTCCAGTCCATCATCATGGTTTCGGCCTCCAGTACGCTCCTTCTGTTATGCATTACCCTTACTTGCCTCAGCCCCCCATCCTCTCCCTCCCGACCTCCTTTGCTCTTTCAACATCATCATCCTCTCCCTCAGGTTTCATTCTCTTGCTTTTCACGTTCTCTCTTATCCTCACCGTTGAAGCTTGTCATTTCATGGTTCTTGATGTATATATATGGAATTTGATCCATTAGTAGCAGCAGCACCAATTACAGCAACAGCAACAGCCCCGACAGCAACCTCAACAGCAGCGGGAACAGCAACAACAACAACGGCAGAAACTGCAGCTCAAGTGAAAGATGGAACAGCTCCTGCGGGAGAGAATCCAACAACCTGATCCATCTTTTCTTGGGGTAGGGGAAATTTCCGGACAGATATATATATATATATATATAGTTCTTATTTATGTTGAATTTAGATCCATTTGTATTTTAATAAAGTTCCATTTGTGTTTGATTTTTATTGAAAAAAATCTTGTTCAATTTAGATTTGATTTAAATTTTCTATTATTTTAATTTTTGATTCGTTAATTTGAATTTAAAATAATCAATTGGTTTTAAACCTGATCTAATTTGTATAAAGTTACATATTATTTATCTCCATTTTATGCTTAGTGTCAAAGCCAAAGACAGATTGAAAATATGATTATTCCTTTTCTTATATTCACTACAAAAAAACCTGCATATAGCGACGTAATTTGCGACGGAAATTTCCGTCGCACAGGAAATTGCGACGGAATGTGACGATTTTACGACAGAACGTGGAAAAAAATTATCCGTCGCAAACAGTCGCAAAATCCGTCGCAATTTGCTACGGTTTGCGACGGATAATTCTGTCACAACAAAGAAATAGATGATTTGCGACGGAAAATAAAAATTGCGACGGATTGCGACAGAATATTCCGTCGCAATGTATTTGGTTTCGGTTTTCGACGAAATTTTTTGAATTTTGGGCGCGTAAATAAATTTCATTTTGTGACGGATTGCGACGGAAAATTCCGTCGCAAAACGCAATATAAAACCACGAGTCGTCTTCTTCATTAGATTCAAAGATTTTCGGAAAAAAAAATAAAAATCGCCATTTTTTTCTAAATCTCTCCAAAGATCGTCAAATTTCTCCCATAAGGTAATATATATATATTTATGTATATATATATGTGTGTTTGATGTGTTTGTGTGTGTTTATGTATGTGTATGTGTGTGTAAGTGAATGTGTATATATATGTGTGAATGTGTATGTGTGTGTTTATATATGTGTGTAAGTGAATGTGTATGTATATGTGAATGTGTATGTGTGTGTTTATATGAATGTGTATGTGTATATATATATGTGAATGTGAATATGTATGTGTATGTATATGTGATTGTATGTGTATATGAATATGTGTATATGTGTGTATTTATATGTATGTGTATGTGTTTGTGAAATGTGTATGTGTATGAATATTTATGTATGTGTATATATGTGTATATGTGTATATGTGTGAATGTGTATGTGTGTTTGTGTATATGAAAATATGTGTATATATATGTATGTATTGTTGGTTTAATGCTCTATGATATACTGATTATGAGCTTTGTTCCGATACATTCGATGTATTGATACTTTCTATAGTTTTATGAATGTTGGTTTAATGCTCTATGATATACTGATTATGAGCTTTGTTCCGATACATTCGATGTATTGATACTTTCTATAGTTTTATGAAAGTATTTTATTCA